AATGGCAGTTTCAAAAAACTTGGCTGTCTGTGCCTGTCCACACTTACATGTGCAGAGATAGCTAGGACGGTTTCTGAATCAGCTTTAACAGTGTGAAAAAAAGTGATTTGTATATTCTCCAATGCATTCAAAAGCATCTCTTTTGATGGATTTGCACAGCTGCTGAAGAGCCATTTCCAAAAGACATTATTGGACTAAACGATAAGCCGTCTGATGTAGTTTAAGGATGCCTCTTATGTTTCTAATCATAAATATTTCATTTGAACCAAAGACATACTTTTTACAAGTCTTTTTACAAAAAGTTGAATTGGAATTCTATTAACATAAGCACACTTGTTTGCACCTGCTTCATTGCTATGATATATTTGAGAAGTTTGTGGTATTGGATCATGCCTGCATTACTCAAGACAGATGACAGAGAGACAGAGAGACAGTTGATAGAGACAGATTGACAAACAGATGGTTGGATGGATAAATAGTATTTAAATATTTTCTCATACCCATGTTCATATTTCCTACACTCAATAACTGTGCATCTGCATGTGGTTTATTGCATGGGAAAAAAAGTCAATTGTAAATCTTTTCTCTGGAGTCAGTTGGTTAGTCTGGCAAACAGGAAACTCCAAACATTCATTCACTTGAAATAGAATGCCTCAGATAAAACTGAAACAAGCAAATTGATTTTTTATCCAGTTTCTAAGTGTCAAGAGTTCTTTTTTAAACTGTACTTAATTAGACTGACCCAGCTTTAAGAGAGACCCAAAAGCACTGAACCCTAGACAGTCAGTTTCTTTATATCTTCCTATAAAGCATGGTGGGATAATTTATTTCATAGAAACAAAGATATAACCGTAATATGAAGGGGTGCTTCCTTTATTCTGTTGTATTGTTCTCCCTATTCGTATCATAATTACTTTTACAATATACTATTACTCTTCAATTACTACCATGACAATGCTTATACTATTACTTATTACTCTATTACCTTTTAAGATACACTATTACTATTATGCACTAATATTTCTTTTTTAAGTCTTTTCTTAAGCTCTCCGAGATTTCTTCTTTTTTGTTAATAGCCTGTATGGAGAGCTCTTGCACTTTTTTTTACACTGTGCTTTGTCCTGTTGGACATCTGGACTTCTTTCCAATACTTTTGAGTCAACCACTCAAAAGTCCACTTCTGAAGGAAAAATGCCTTCTTTTGTTTAGCTACTTAACCAGGTTTGGCTGCAGAGCTCCAAAACACGCATCTCTCTGTTCTCCACTCACACCTGTTTCAAGGTTGCAGCTTTATTGGCAACTCTCTGCCATTCTGATACTGGATAGAAGGCTCAGATGGGAGGGAAAGAAGACAGCACGGCCTGCTCTTCCACACTAAGCATGATTAGAATATTAAAGTGGCCATAAAGGTTATTCTAACTACAGTCATTTGTCATTTTGCCAGACTGTTTACTGACAACCTGGGAAGAGCTGCAAGAGAATCCTCTGAAAACTCAATTCCTTTATTCCTCTTTTTTTAAAATCACATCTTTTGTCTCTTGAAACTTAGAAATGGTAGATGATAATTTGGAAAGTGTCACATCCCCCAAAGGTTCAGTCCAGATGTTTGTATTATCTATCATTGAATGCCAACAAAGAATTAATATGAAGTCTTCTCTTCTCTTTGCTGAGCAGAGAAACCATTTCAAGTAAGTTTGGTTTGTCTTTCTCCCTACAGTACATTGCCCATTGTTACACAAATTATACAAGAGACGTTTGTTTTTTTATCTCATTCCCAGAATGATTTGGAATTTCTTTCAGATATTTGCTAGTGCTTCTTCTGAGTTTGTTTTATTTTTGTGAGTTGGTGGAATTTGCTGCTGGCATTGTTGGTTTTCATTATTCTACCCCTTGATAACTTCCCTAATTGTTTTGCTCCCTGTGTCAAAAAGATTTGTGGGATGGGTTTCCTAATAATTTCAGCTTCAGAAAATTTGTTTATTTATCTCTTAGGCTTTATGGGCTGGTCATTGAGTGCAATAAATGTTTATTTTTCTATAAGACTTATATGTAGTGAATAGATTATGCATTAGCTGTTGATAAGTAAATGGATGACTGTATAATGAAATATGGGACATCTAGGCCCACAGCAGGCTTAAACCTAAGTTAAGTGTAAGGATTTTCATGCTCCATTCATAGGATTTTTTCTTTTTCTTTCTTTTTTGCAAAAAATAAAATGTCAGTACTAGAAATAGTACAGGACTGATGACTACAGGACTGATTATGGGGAATCCAACTTTAAAACTCTATTCAACCTTTGGACAATAGAGAAATACTTTAAGACTCTTAAAGTCTCTTGGATTTAGTTACCCAAAAGGAAAGCTTTTATCAGAATTTTATTTCCAATAAATCCAGCTGTCCACACTTGGTTGTAGCATGTTTAGCTGGTGCATTATAGCCTTGCAAGCTATAATTTCCTTCAGGGACCTATTAATTTTTTTTTTCATCTCTCTTGCTAAAAATAGATGATTCCGTCTGTGTAATTTTGTAGCAAGTGGGAAGTGGGGGCACAATGTGCCTCAGATGCTGGTGAATTACTTACCATTTCCACCCCAAATTACTAAAAATATATCAAGTAAAGATAAATTTACCTTTTTATTTGCTTTCCTATATTCCTAACTTATTTTTTTGAGCTCGTTTCATTCTTATTCACTTGTAAAATAATAAAGGTGGGATATAAATAAATAAATATTCAGTTGTTTTAGTTATTTTCTTTTACTGTAATGCAATCCTCCAATTCATTTTAGTTTTGTCTCGTAATAAGGCTTAGTAACATGGCACCAGGCTTGAAGTTTATTTAGATACCTATGGAACGTACTAGTTATGCATTAATATTTCTTTCTTAAGTCTTTTCTTAAGCCCTCTGAGATTTTTTTTTCTTTTTTTGTTAATAGCCTGTCATGAGAGACAAAACTAAAATGAATTGGAGGCTCTATACCCCTACCTCCTATTTTTTTAAAAAAAAAATCTTACTATCAGTGAACAATCATGTACCTTGGCTACTCCAAAGTAATGCAAAAGCACAAAAGGTGCTTCTTCAAGAGGAAACTGGACTTTTTGGAAATCAAGAAAGTCCAGTTGGCTCTTGAAAAAAAGCACCCTTGGGACAGCCATGACCTGGATGACCGAAGAATCCCCATAGACAAGAGACTCTTGTGCTCAGTGAGCTGACAAAGCACCTTTTCACACCCAGGAGAAGCAATCCTTAGATCTATTTGCACCACTTAAAAATACCAGCTGGTCTCACCCACTTTACAAGATATCCTAAGGAAATCATCCAGATTTAAGGAAAGATCACATGCCTCCAGAAAGGCAGTAAAAAAATCAGTGCCAAGCTTGCCTCTTGCCTCTTGGAAGTGCACCCTAAAAGAACAGTACCAGGAACCACTACAGCAGTGAATGAATACCCCTTCTCCAGATAGAAAAAGAAACCATGAGGCAATAAAAATTCAGACACAATACAAATAATGAAATCACAACAGTTTAAATCCTCCCTAAAACACAAGCCTTGTCTGGCTCATTGCCAGAACTCACAACCCAGCTAGGAAAGCTGAAGTGTAAACATTTGAGATAAGCCTAACTACAAAGAATACATTAGGGCTAGAATGTAGCAAAAGAGCAAACACAGGAGCAGTTGCTTGTTAAACCAATCACCAGAACAAATAGACACAGGAACTAGCCAGATTTCTCAACCCTGTTTCTTTTCAGGAAGAGAAATTAACATTTTTCCTTCCAAACAAAGCTGAATAGGGAAAATTATCCCATCAATAAACACAGGATTAAATGTTACAAAGCACATAATCAAACTTCACCAAAAAAGCAGTTTTATTGCTAGGGTGGTCCAACTAAACATCTTTCATTCATACTATCACTATGAATAATGTAATATATTCAAATAGTGAATTTGGCTGGATGTGCCAGAAATAGCGGAAACTCCAAGGTATGCCCAACAGTTAGTAAAATACCATATTTAGGAGGAATGAAAAATCTATTGTTTGTTAAATATACAGCTGAAGTCCATAAAAAAAGTAATTGAATATACAATCTATTCTGAATATGTGTAGTTAGTACTATATAATGGCTGTCATGAGCTACCAGAAGAAATCTTGGATGTGATCTTGAGAAGCTTCAGACAATTCCAGAATTAATGCCAGCACAGATTCATATCAATAGCTGAACTAATACGTTTAGCAGATAAGAAGATTTAGGAGTTGGTCTTTTGAACTTGACAATGTTGGATGTTAAGATTAGTTAGGTATCCCCTAGAGATTCTTTTGTCGGGAAAAAAAAACAGTGAATAATAATAAATGGTCTTATATTGTTACATAAGGGTCTATTACACAATGTTCTTTTCCTACAAGTTCATCCATCCAAATTATTTCCATATGGATTTAGAGGATTGTTAACTAAATTTACAAGCTAAACACTTTTTTGAAGATTTGAAAAATGGGTATCATTCAAGCACTTGACACGACAGCTAATCTTCTTTTGCAAAAGACTAAGAAATTATGTTCTATGGGCCATAGAGAATAAACAGTGACTTGAAGAAAATTTTCCAGTTAATATAGCAACAGGCAAGCCTCAGAATCCTTTTGGGACCACTATGTAATTTTGTGCAATAATATAAAACAATGTGATATATTTAGTTATAATTAATTTTTTTAAAAATTGAAAAAAACATTTTGTGAAATTTGTTTATTTATTTGTTTGGATGAAACAGTGGATCATCTTATCAGTAGTTGCAGCAATATCTCACAGACTGATTATTTACAACATCATGATCAAATTGCCAAAATCATATTTTGTAAGTTTTGCCAGAAGTTTGAGTTTGAACCAATTACTGGGAATACCAAATTGACAAAATTCTTGGAAATGAGCAAGTTGAGATTCTGTGGGACTTTCTGATCCAAACAGACAGACATCTGGGTCACAACAAGCCTGGCATCACTATTGTGGAAAAGAAAAATGACTGGTTCATTGTTATTGCAATACCAGGTGATGCATGAATTGAAGAGAAACAGCTAGAAAAATAACAAAATATTGCAAAGTACATGGAAATTTTGGGGACTTATTAGACCTGAATATCCTGACTTTGAAAAAAACAATGCCCTACTCAGACCTGCCTACCCTTAACAGGTAGCATCTGAGGTCCTTGGTTATGACTTGAACTATTAAGTTTTTACCAGTCCCAATTGTGAATTGAATTGAAGACTGTGAATCTTTAACAATATCAACAACAGGAGGGAATGATGGGAACATGCTTTTTAATAGATATGCACTCTATAATACAGTAGTTATGAGCCAAGATTGTGCTCTTGTAGAGTCTGTTGAATCCATTATTATATTTGTTTAATAAGGATACAATGATTTAATTTATCATTCCTTGTTTAACGAAGTATCCAGACAATTTTAATTTGCTCTATGGAAATAGTGTGTAGCTGTTATTATCAGATCAATGTGACTTAAATTCACATGAATGTGGCCAGGTTTTGCTGTACAATTTGTAAAACCTGAAAAACTTTGCATTGATGATTTAGCAGAATTATATTGTTTGGTTCTGTTTCATCTGCTTTTAAGTTATTGCATTCTGGTCAGTGATGATAATAAAGTACTGAATTGAACTTAAAATGCATTCTACCACAGAGTTACTAAATGTTACTTAATGATACTGATTCAACATCAAGAAATAATTTATTAATTCAAAAAGATCAGAATGAAATAAGTAATGTTCTTTTTTATAAATGCTTTTAAAATACCTTTTCCCCTTAAGTTTGGTAATACAATTGCATACTCTATTTCTACAACCTTATGCAACTATTTTAACCAATGTTACAGTAATATATAATTATGGCCAAAGGGATGTAACCGAAAATATCCATGAAATATAATTCCACTTAACGTTTCTCAAACAAATTACAAGTTTAACATTTCCCAAACACAAACTGACCATTTTTCTAGTTCCTGTTTGATATGATATGAAAAAAAAGCTAATTCTGACTCAAAGAAATATTGCAATTTTAAAAAATCGTTAATTATGCTTAAACTATTAACTTTGGATTGAATTATAGCCAGCAGTTTAGATTAAAAATAATATTACCAAGTGGTATAATTGTATTACGGAGAATTAACAGAAAAGCAAATCTGAATATTTGAAATACTTTATGCTAGTAAAAAAAAATCTTATAAAGAGGATACTGCGTAAAAACTCCACCATATCATAACTTTAGGGCTCAGGAATGGCTCAGGAATTCTGGGTGTTGAAATCCACAGGATGTAAAAGAGCTGTTATTGCCCACTCCTGCTTTATTGGGTATACATTTGATGCCAGAGTAACAATGTGGTTTTTCTGACTTTAACTTATGATATATTTGTTTGGATCAGGATTAAGTTCATTTTTAGACAGCTAGACTCCATTTTTTCTGGAGCATATTTACCCAGAATATATAGAATTAATATCAACTATTCCAACTGTGCATTTTTCATATGTGCCTCTTTTTATTATATATTATTACAACAATGAGTTTTATTTGTGATAGCGTTTGCTTAAATGCTTTCTTTCATAAGCATAAACAATTGTTGCTGAATCCTGATATCCTGTCTGGTTATTTCAGATGATGAATTCTGTTTTAAAAAGTATAAAAGAAAATACTAAAAGAAAATTTAAAATTATTAAAATAAGAGTAGCAAGGTAAGAAAAAAGTCTGATTTTTCCCCTCTTGCATAACAGATTATAAGACACACTGAATGATCTAAAATAGTTAAAATGTTCAGTAAACAAATCCCATTCTTTATTGCCATATCACTAAAGCCTACAGTAACATAAGAAAGAAAAAAATTCCTGAGCTAACTTTACTGATTAAGTGTTGCTGTCTGTCCATGTAGCCCTCCCACATATCTCTAACATGGAGATTTTTAACCATCCTCATTGATATTTGACATTGAATCAAGCCTCCCAGTTATCTCTTTGGTGCCACTACTGTAGTAATAAATATATTCTGTTTATAAATACAATCATAATAAATTCAATGTTTTCTCAATCCTTTTAACTGTCATTGGTAGTGATTGATATGAAACATTTTTTGTGAAACATAAAGAAATGTTTCTGTGAGCATATCTTAATATCCCTCTCTTAGAGTCACAAATGCTACTATCAAAAAAGGTCCTTCATATGTCCTTGAAACTACTGTACAAACATGCCTCACTAACCAGTTCCTCTGAGGGTTGTTGTTTTTTTTTCATCACCAGCAGACAACTGTAGCAGCTTCAATATATCTTTAGCTGTTCCAGTTTTAAACTACAAGTTTAACTACAACTGCACTACAACTACAACTACAAGTAAACTACAACTGCACAACCTGTACCCCACTGGATACAGTTTCAGATTATCAGACATATTTCTTTACCTAAACAGAGAAACAGAATGATCACAACCAGGCAAAAAAAGAAAAAATGGGAATGGAATCCTTTCTTGAGTTTTTTTGTGGAAAGTCCCAGTAAACATCAGAAATCTCCCTCCCTCCCTCCCTCCCTCCCTCCCTTCTTTCTTTCTTTCTTTCTTTCTTTCTTTCTTTCTTTCTTTCCTTTCTTCTTTCCTGTCTTACTTTTTCTTCTTCTCCCTGTTTTTCTGTCCCTCCTTCTCTCTCCCTCATTTCCCCACTCCCTCATTTCCTGAAATTCCCACCAGCCGCCTCTTTTACTTTGCTGATGGGAAGATTGCATGGAGAATCCAGCAGGAAATTGCAAGTTCAAGTACTACAGACAGGCACTTGACTGTTGCTGGATAGGGAGAAAGCAATTGTTCCACAGGGTGCAATTTGGAAAGGGCATATGGGGTGTGTGGGTCTGCAGCATGGTTCAAGGATGGTGTGTTTGGGGAGGCATGGGTTGGGGAGTGCATGGGTAGGTGATGTGAGTCAGGGAAGGCACCCATGCATGAAAAATATGACATGGGGCATAGAGTACACAAGAAGTCCTGTTTACTTTGAGTGTGATTGGTAGATACTTTCTCACTAACTGATGATGAAATAAGTTTCTTCCTTAACTTTAATGGCATTAAACTATCAGAATGATATCACTCATTGGTTTTTTAACCTGACATAGAATAGACTTCACAGGAAGGGCACTGTTTTCTCAAGGACAGAGAGAAAATACTTTAATGCAGCCATAAGGAGGAAAGACCCTAAGACTATTGCTATCTGTTGTCTCTCATTCAAATATTCACCACCCCAAAAAGATACAGTACAAAAGGCTGTTATTTTATTTTAAAATAAAACTTGTAGCAGCAGGAATGTACATTTTAAATGCCTGCAGCAAGAAAACATCCTTGTCAAAGAACAAAAGGAAAAGGAAAAAAATCTGCATTTTTTAAAAAAAAAACCAAAAATATATCATTTAAAGGAAGGTAAATTGAAAGCTCCTATATCACTGTAAACTAGGAGTTTATTCATATACTCAGATATAGATTAATGAACAGAGGAAAATTGTGTGTGTCTTGTTTCAAGTTATCTTGTGACTAATTTGTTTGCTTGTTAAATCTGAATCCTGCTTTCCCACTAAATGAAGGTAAAACTAAAAACAACAGCAAATGGCACATCTGAACAAGAAGTTCTCTTCCAGTTGCTTCTTGGCATGTATGCTGAGCTAACTAGACAGGAAGACAAAAGATCAAAGGAAGAACTTTAAACTTGTAGAACACTGCAGTACTGCTAATGACAGCATACTCAGGGAAAAAAAAGATTCACATGAATCAACATTTTGAAAGCATGATTTTTCAAAAGCAAAGAAATCTTCAGACAGTTCTCCCTTTTTAATTGTAAATGTCTAGGTTAAATCTTCAGACCATTGGAAAACACACTGTTTTTTTTTTTTTTAGTATGCTAGAGATCAAGCTCAGCACAAATTTGATAAATGATATGCATATAAATTGGAGTCTTCCTGGTTACAGATTTGTGGAAGGACAACATTTGTAGGAAACAAAACGTACATGGACATGAGATTTATTTCTTCTCAGCTCAGCATAATTTGAGATAAAGTTCTTCTATGGTCTGTAATAAAACATTGCCTTCATAGCCTAATTTTATGCATGTATAATAGTCATGCATTAACTAATAGTCATGTTAATTCACTATAAGCAACTCAATTAAATGTTGACTTTTAGAGTGAGTTTTAACTATTCATTTTTTTTAAATGAAATATTTTCCACATTGTAAAGATGGATTGCTCTGAAGTCTACCAATTTCAGTCCTCTGAAATAAATATAGTATAAATATTAGCTGGCAGTAATATTTATTAATATATGTTCCCATAAAATAGTTTTCATCACAAGCTGGAGCAAAAGATAATATTTTCTCATCAAAATTAAACTGCTGGTGGCAAAGATTTGTGTGCATGATTGTGTGTTTCAAAGTGATTCAGGATTAGCAAAACATTTTCCTGCCAAAAAAGTTTCAAAAATAGATAAGGGTAGAAAGATAGTTTTGGAGATGAAAAGTAGGAGCAAATTACTGCACAAAAAGCATAATTTCCTGTGGCAAATCACTGCATTTGTTGCTCCTTAAATGATCAACATACATGAAATGTCTCCAAAATTATTCATCTGGTGCATTGTTAATGTGAATTGTTAAACTGAGAAAATTTGTGTCAGAATGTTGATTTGATTTTAAAAAAATTATGCACAAATATAAAAAAGTCCATCAAACTGCAAAAATTATTTGAAGGGACCCTTTTTCAACCAACATATTGATAGTAAAGGTTTGATTGAAATGGTTTCAAAATGAAGTTTCATACAGCCTAATCTCATAATATCTGTCAACTGAGGTGGAGGTTGCAAATTGTAACTTCAAACCAACATTTTTGAGCAGTAGCATGTATCAATGAAGTCTAATTTGAAGATATAAAGTAATGTAGAGTGTAGATGCTCATTTTTAAAAAGGGTTAAAATCATCAAATACAAAAGGAAATGATAATGAAATAAAACAGGGATAGCCACCCAAGTCATATAGTTACAAAAGACTTATGTGCCTCC